ATAAACAAACGTTCCATCCCTGTCGAAGATCATATTTTCTTTATTAAGATTTCTGAAATGCACAAACCGGTAGATACACTGTTTAAAATGACAATGGGGCGTCTATTTTAAATACTAGCATCCACTATAATATATAGTGGAACTGCCTTCCTCTTACTTGCTTCACTGATAATTATAATCTTCAAAAATTTAAATGATGCCTTGATCCCCGTTCTTCTCTTTATCCTTTCCTCAATCCCCCCCCGTGCCCAGTCTTTTCTTTAACTTACCCTTTGTAACCCCTTGCGTAGTATTGCCACTCCCACCTTGCTTAGTGCGAGCTTAATATTACATACTATGCAGCAAATTTTAAGGTTCTCCAATACATTTCTACCATATTGCATCAGCCAACTTCCACTTTAATAAAGGATGTGAAAAGGTACACCACTGCCGTGGCTGTTACCTCCAAGCGATATCTTTCAGAGACATATATGTATACACGCGCGGGCTCACTGAAAAATTATTTTTTAGCGAAGATTTGAGAAAGTCATTCAGGCTGTGATCTTTTCAGCACCTCCTCTTATAGACAGGATACATCCGGTGCTTGAAAACAATATTGAATATTTGAAAATCATATTATTTAGCAGAACAAATAATCTATTTTTCACACAGTTTGGTAGATATTCTCTTATATGCAACACATAAATATATTCAATACAACCTCCTTCGACTTATTTTACTGTCTCGATGTGGCTTCTAAAACGATTATATTTTGTCATCATAGTGTTCTTTATTCATGTTGGCCTTGACCTTTGCGATATCAACCTTCAGCGTCTTGTGAACATCGTTCTTGATCACCATCTTAACGATGCCCGGATGTAATTGTTGTTAGGGTTTCATTTAGAATATCTAGGAGGCCAAATATTAGGGGTAACATGATCATGAAAATGTTCGGCCAGATATTCCAGGAACTTGCAGGGTGTGTGAAAGGGAGCACACTATTACCGGTACACATACGGCGAGCTACTTTCTCGATCCAGAGCGATGTCGAGTGTTTTGATGTTGATTGATTTAATTTGTTTGTTTAACGGTATATCAACTGCTGAAATTTAATTTTCCTGGGAGCTTTGAAGTAATAAAAATATGTAGTTATTCTGCTTTCACAATTGAATACATGGTAGATGATTCTCAGCTTTCGTGCATACAAATGTTTGTCTGGACATAATTACTAGAAGCAGTTCTATGTGTGTTTGATTTCATAGTTTTGTTCAAGCTATATTTTGGAATACAAGTTTGATTTCTTTAAGAAATAGTCGGATATTATATGTATTAATGTTATGAAAGTTCTTTCATGTTGATTGATTGGTTGGTTGGTTTTGTTTAGCGGCATTTCAACCTCTATGGATTATTTAATGTCGAAATGTAAATATCCTGAACACGATTTTATGGCTTCAACTAAATATATTTTGAATACAATTGTATATTTTCAACTGCGGATAAAACGTATTTCAGATTATTTTGTTATTAATCGTTATCTTCTGTCTTCTTAATTCCTGTTCCTATTCTTTTATAATTCTTGGTCCTTAATAGGGTTTCTAATTATGGTTCATTTAATGCCAAAATTTAATGTTCTTGGGAGATTTGAAATAATAAAAATATGTTATGTGTTATTCTGCTTTCACAGTTGAATACATGGTAGATGATGCTCAGCTTTTGTGCATATACATGTCTGTGTGGCCATAATTACTAGAGGCAGTTATATGTGTGTTTGATGCCATAATTTTGTTGAAGTTATATCTTGGATTACAGTTTGGTTTCTTTAAGAAATTATCGGATATTATATGGCTTAATGTAATGAAAGAATTTTTCACGTTGGTGGTTTGATAGAATTTTAAACAGATTTGGCTGATGTGGCTACAATTTGTTAGTATGTTTTTACTGTGTATATTTCTTGGCAAGCTGTACATTTGTAGCTGATTCTTGTTTTAAAATATAAGTGAGTGTTATCATTGAGTGTCCGATATGATGGCTGGGAATTATTTCTTCATCTCTCCTTGTGTTTACTCGTTTTAGTCATTCTTCGATAAAATGTTTAATGTTCCATAATTTGTTGTTTGGGCAATCAGTCCATAGTTTCTATTATTCTTCTTTGATAAATATGTTAATGGATGAGGTCTGCGTAGATATACGTATTGTTGGTAATATTCTTTTATAAAAATGTATTGCTGGTATTTTTACCATAAAAACATATTTTATACTTTCATAGCGTCTTCTTTTTTTGTTTAGGGATTCACTATTTGCCCATAGCTGGGACCCTAACAGGTGTTACGACCCAAGTCAGAGTGTACCTGAGAACAACAGCAGATAAGAGGTGGTTCCACGCGCCTCAAAATCTCCAATCACCCGATAAGAGGCCTTGATGCCAGATGTAGTTTATCGTCATACCCAGGATTAATGTCTCGATGTAAACGATAGCATTTACCGTAAAACTTTGTAGGAAAAAGTGGGGATTCCCTCCCCGTCCCTGACCGTCGCAGATAACATGAAGTTACTGTGTATAACTGTAGTAGGGCTGGCGCAAAACACCTGCCATTCCTTATTTTCAATTTTTGAACAAGGTTCTTCACATCTGAGAAAAGCCAGAACATGTTGTACACCTCGAGGTGTTTCATTTTGTTTAGCAAGCGCTTCGACTTGATCACACTGTTCTTCCGAGTACTATTGGATATGAACTACACTCTCCTTATAATGCAGGATTTGGAAAGAATGTCTTCGTGCACCGAGTTGATTGGCAATGGCCCTCATTGATTTTCTGAGGTTCTCATCAATTGCTGAACAGACTCGATATTCCTGACAATGTCTGACCGGAGAAAATGCTTGTTTTTCTTTCGGACACTGAAGTTACACTTTTTTCAAGTATGGAGCTCCTTTCTTATCTTAAACATGAGGGATCTGGCGACGTTTAAAAAGATTTTCAACTCCGGGAGCTAAAGCAACGAGAACAACATGCCTTTTCATGTGCGTTAAAGTCGGAGCTTCCCGGGCAAAAAAATTTATTCGAAGTTGCTGAAATCTGGCTTTCTGAAGATGTGTTCTTAAATACCTGAAGAACAATGTCGCATGCAAAATACGCTTTTCAGTTGATGGGAAAAAATATGTTTTATAACCGGGATTATTCGGGGATTCTGTTCTTTCAGCATCAGAGCCTCTTCACCGGTTGAGCGATTCAGGGCCGCCCAGATCGTTATCCTCCTCTTCATACCTGGATACCATCTTACTTTTTACTTTCGTACCTTGATTGTTGGTTCCAAAATTGTTGGTTATAGCGACGTCACCGCCAACAATTTGCTTTCCAATGATCGAATATATATACATATATATATGAAGAAAAATATACGGAAAACCAAACAAAAATCCTAATATGCAATTATGCTGTTTTAATGTTAATATAATGTCAACGTCGGACGTTTCACAACATCGTCCAAATGACGACGACGTGATCATATTTAAACGGAACGCTGATCTTATAAAAGATTTCAGTTATCTGTTTGGATTGGTATTGCTTTTATGTCCATCGTCTTTTTCATGTTGAATTGAATATGGTCTATGTTAATTATGTTTTATGAATATGTCCTGAAGATGGTCTATTAGACCGAAACGTCCGACGTTGACATTATATTAACATTAAAACAGCATAATTGCATATTAGGATTTTTGTTTGTTTTTCCGTATATTTTTCTTCATACTGTTGGATCTATATCCATATATTTGCTTACATATATATATATATATATATATATATATATATATATATATATATTAGTAAATATTCACTAATATATACTTATAGCTCTTTCTCACAACATTGAGCACTTCATTTATAAAATCTGAGGAAGAAATTTATTTATACGTACGTGCAAGTATATGCGCGTGTAACTATATTTTTTATCATACCCATATATATATATATATATATATATATGCTAGCTTAAAACCACCCTATTGTGCCTCATTTAAGCTAGCTCCTGCAGACGCCTCTTGATTGGGCCTTCGGTTTGTTCAGGAGTTTGAGAGTCCCTCTGTCTTTGCATATTCTCAGTATTGGAAACTCTCATTTGCACGGGAATTTCTTTTCCTCTCTGCAAGCTTGGCTCTTTTGATTGCAATCTGGTCCTATATTTGCGGTCATTTCTTTTCTGCGAGCCATACGGCTGCCGTATGCTTTAGGCAACAATAAACTACAAAAGAACACAAAATTGATCGCTGCGTTTAAGTGCTGCATAAATATTTAAGATTTAGGCTAACAGACAGACTGATAGACAAATAATTAGATTAAAAGACGCGAGACAAACAAAACTAACCAAACTGACAGACAGACAGATTCGTACAGTAACCGAGATAGATAAGTGTGGCCTCTCAGTCGGACATTGCCTGACAGATAGAAATAGCTTCACAGAGACACGCACAAGGCCAGAAAAGACGAAGGAAAAATAATAGATAAACATAAAAAATAGAAGCAGTGACAAAGAGGTAGAAAGAGAAAAAAGATCAAAGAAAACTGAGAGACAGATAAAATGAAATTGATAGTGTCAGTATAAGAGATAAATAAATATTCATGCGGACATTGGATGTTTGTTTTGCGAGAAGCAAATCGTGTTTTATTGAACGTTTGTTAATCTAAATCTTAAATATCACCTTTCTGCATCCTCTACTCAAAAGTGATTGAAAAAAAGGAGTGAAAGTAAACGAATAATACCAATTGTGAAACATGTAGGTGAAAGTCGTGACTATAGCGAATGCTATGCGAAGAAACATTTCCAGACCCCTCGAGAGAAGATGGTGTCCATTAGGTTTGGTTGGTTGTTTTTTGTTTAGCGGCATATTAACCTTTATGTGTGATTTAATGTCGAAATCGAAATATTTTGTACGCAATTCTATTTCAGTTTGGGGGATAATAATGGTTTCGTTATAAAAATTATACTAATTAACCCATAGGCGGGGGAACTACTCACAAATCCAAGCTTGCTGCACCTGGTATTCCCAAACGGCCACCCATCTATGTACTGATGAGGCTTGTTGTTGCTTAACAACGATGATCGTATTGAAACTGGTGTTTCAATGTGATATGGCCGTAAGTCGGTGGGGATTTCTTTCACTGTCTGTACTCTACTTCAAAATATTTTGGAAACGTCTAAGACAAATAATGTATATAATGTTTATATGCGTATATTATAAATGTTCCAAAAGTTATCCAAGCCGGGGGTGCTAACGGGGACAAGAACACCCCACCGCCTGAAGGCTTCCGTTTCATGCGTCTCAAATAGCCTCTGACAACTGCAAGCTGGTGGATCGGCGAAGACTGACACCTGGCGCCTCATGACCAGCTGACTTTGATAGATGGAGTTCCACAGCCCAGAAAGGCACTATATCTAAGGGAATGAAAAGTCTCATTTTAAACCATCAACTTCTCCAGCCAAGCTGACCCCAAATGTAATGCCCTGTATGCCTTAGGATCTTGTCGGTACGGCCGAGAGCAGAGCCGTGTAGTCTTGGCAGCGCAGGGCCGCCGTATACCATCGCCCAAGCCTGAGCTCTTGAGTATTCACTAAGCACAAAATTACAGAATTTTGACCAAATAAGGCGCTAACTAAACGAATTCGTACTATGTGTCATATTAGGCGTTAAGGACACAAATTAAAATTAACCAATACATCAAAGATCTAGGGTAAAAACCGCGAGTACTTTTAAACCAGGTAACTCTGGGTGATCTTGCTGGTGTTTTGCGCATTAAATGTAAATATAAAATCATTAAAATATGTCTTGTACACATATTAAATCTATCAATGACAACATTATATATACGCCGTGTTCTTTCAGGAAGAGACAGATCATGGCTTCCTCACAATTTTTTCTCCTTTGCAGCTCTAAGCAGTATTTGCTTCCTTTCTATCTCTCTTTGTCCTCTCTCTCATTCACTTCTACAATTCCATGTACAAATAACACAGTGTTGATAGCAAACATAGACAGAAAGAAAACTATAACAATGTGACGTCACCACTGGTCTCTCTCCGCGCCCGCCGCCGTGCTATCCAGCGACGACCAATGTGACTTGGTCGTTCCCAGCTCGCCTCCAACCTCTGGTTACCGAAGTAACTGCTTTGATTCCTACCCACGTTGTGATTTGATCTTAGGTAGACGAAATCAATCAGTCGCCGGGCCGCAACTCGAAAAGTTCAAATGTGTTAAAAAAAGAATAACAAATATTTTTATATCTGGTTGCTGAATACAGGACTGCATCTTTCTCCCAAACCGCTAATATGGATTTGTGACACTTTGTGTTTGTTAGGCGAGTCTTAACATCTTAAGTTGTTTTTTTTAAGAAACTGTTTTTTTTTCCTGTATCTTCAGGCGATATTCGTAAAACTTGTTTTGGTGGTGTAAGTCGTTCTTCAAAAATAAATTGTTTTTGGTTAGAAGTTGAAGTCGGGATGCGTGGATCTTCAGTCAGCTTCCTGCGAGGCAGGCCTCAAAGCTCAACAGTTTCAACTGCAACTAACTTCTCTCTGCCTTCTCAGCTAACTGACTTACTCGCTGCGACTCTGCTTATATGGACGCCGACCAAAACCGGGTGTGGGCTTGTCGTGGTTTGGGGTTCCTCGATAATTCTAAATCCACAACAAGGATTTTCTTTGTTTTCGGACAGGAAAATTTATCACTTTCTATTTTTGGAAGTCCATTAGTTTTTGCTTTAGAGGGATTCTTAAGGATATCGTCCTCCCAAATTCTTCCTTTCTCATATTGGTATCTCACACCAATCTCCTCAGAGGGCGTCAACAGGTTTCCCTTCTCTCTCACAGTGGATTCTCACACCATCCTCTCAGAGACGTCAACAGGCCTCCCTTCTCTCTCACATGTTTACCTTCGCCTACCGCCCACGCTACCATTCAGCCAATGAACGCTCAGCAGCGTGGGTGTTTGAAATTATCGCTCAAAGAAAAGAAAAAAATTATCTTCCCTTTTCTTTTTCTTTTCTTCTTTTTTTTTCCCACCAGACCCCTACGACTCGTAGTGTGGTCCTTAATCTCTATATTAACCGAATGTCACCTGGACTTTATCAATCGAGATTTTCGCCTGCGTCAAGTGGGTGGTTAACTGGACGTATTGCTAATTATCTCGCCCGGTATCAAACTTTTATCATGTTCAGGTCTGGACAATAAAACAGGCGTTTTTCCCAAAACCAAATGATATCTCCGAAGGATAGTTAATGTTTTTTTTTTCCTTTCTCTTTTCCCTTCCTTTCTTTTTTTCTTTATCGGTGGTCTTCAGCTGATGTCTTTCTCGGTCAGTGCGTGACCTGATTACCATTATCTCTTAGCATTCTGTTTTGTAGGCCACTTGACCAATTTGAAATTTTCATTATTGCCATGGGCAGATGGCTATCTTTATTCGCCGCCTCGTAACATAAATTAATTCGACAGATCCGAGATCTTACGAATTTCCTATCTTCTGCGAGAGAAAAAAAATACTTTTTCTTTTTGCAAACGAAAACAAAATCTTCACCACTTTTCTTTGTCAAAAAAAATAACATCTCTCAGTATGTCTTTTCGTGATAGCTTCTCATCGCCTGAATTACTTCTCGCTTTTCATTTTCACGCGACCGCTAAATAGTGTCACAACAAGTAGAAAAGGTTGTAAAGGAAAGCGAGAAGAAAGGACTAAATATCAGCTGATAGAAGACAGAAAAAGGAACGGCCCAACATGCAAATTAAAAATTGAAGATAACAAAATCAAACAGGTACAACAATTTAGATGTCTGGGAAATATTTTAACAGAGGAAGAAAAGTGCGACACTGAAATCCGAAAACGCATTCTAAAAATCACAGAGAATTTCCTAAATTACAGGTCATGGCACAATGGATAAAAGCGTTGGTTAGATCCAGTGACAGGACCCAAAGAGTGTGAGTTCAGTACCCGGTTAAGGCAGTGGAGAACTTGGAGAGGGGAATTTACAGGAGATAACTGATAACTGACATCCATTAGACATGGCACGTGGAACTAGAACAGTCTACCCCAGTGAGCGAAATAAAGGGTTCAGTTCGGCATTCCAACCACCTGAAGAAGGCCTAAGTGTACAACGACCAAAACGTTGTAATAAATATGGCGACAAAGATGAGGACAATAGTCCGAATAATGTAAATAGTGTACATAATACCTCATCTCAGGAATATAGACAGGTGTTGATATACCGTAAAACAAACCAAACCTGACTATTTTGAACAAACACGATTGTAACTAATATAAATGTAATAAAATGCTTTTAAAAAATGTAAAGTGCACACCGACTTTTGGTCCACCCTGTATAGTTAGTTAAGCAATAATGCATTTCTTCGTTGTAGTTAAATACAGATTGCGATGGATAAATTGCCGTCTAAATTACGCAAAAATGAAAATAACACTGACATCTCATTTTGACAGCTGAAATTTCTGGGACATATTTTTTTGCCGGGAACGGCTATCTAGTATGTCCGAATTTAAATACCAAGACCGATGGTGAGGGATATTTTTAAGATGGCCATCTACCAGTATTAACTGCGCGTGGAAGACGAACACTCCACGTCTGTTAGCCAGGAAAAAAAATAATGTCCAATACTTGCATGGTCCAGGAAAAAAATCAAAGATTTAATATTCAAAGTTTTCAAAAAGGGAGTAGAATAAATTCACTTTAATTAAAAAAAAAAAATAAATTTAAATGTTTCAGTTCCGAGTAAAAAAAAAAAAGGAATAGGTAAATAAAATGATTAAGAATGAAATTCAAAGAGATACATACAAGACGGACAAACGATGTTCTTTTTCACGTGGCTTCGTAGACAAAAATTAACCAAAGAGTGACGTCATTTTTTTTGCCGGCAATGACTATCTAGTAAGTCCGAATTTAAATCCCAAAACCGAGGGAGCGTGGCAGTGCTAAGATGGCCATGTACCAGTATTAACTTCGCGTGAAAGAAGAACTCTCCACGCATGTGAACCAAAAAATAAAAATAACGTCCAATACTTGCAAGAGCCAGAAAAAGAAATGTGCTCCTGAGGTGGCCCCAGTCCTCTACAAGCTATATATTGCCTCGCTGACTTTTGCTTTCCAGCCTGTTGGAAGTCCTCGTCTGTTCTTCCTGCTTTTAAGGCATCTGGAGGCCCTTCTAACCCATCTAATTACCGTCCTATCAGTCCCCTACCACTCTTCGACAATGTCTTCGAGACTTTAATCAATGCCGAAGTGATTAAGCACCTTAACTCTCATGATCTACTCTGACAAACAATATGGATTCCGCTTTACCCGGTCTATCGCTGACGTACTTACGGCCATAACTGAATTTGTATAGCAAACTCTTGATAATAACCGCGAAGCTCGAGATGTGGCTCGTGATATGCAAGAGCCAGAAAAAGAAATGTGCGTTTGATAGGGTTTGGCTTAACGACCTTATTCGTAAGCTTCAGGGATATGATATTACAGGACGATTATTTGATTTAATCCAATCATTCCTGTCAAGCCGTGAAATGAAGGTCGTCCTAAACGGCTTCTCCTGCAGTCCCACTCATGCGAACGTTGGTTTTCCCCAAGGGTCCTACACTGGTTCTGATCTTCATCAACGATCTCCCTGATGTCATCGGTTCTCAAGTAGGCACATCTACGCAGACGTCGTTACAATTTACTCCTGTCTCAATAGTAAATCCTGCATTGCTGACAAAGTTAACCTGGCTGTTGGTCTCGAAAAGGATCTCCAATCTGTGGTTAACTGGGGCAAGAAATGGCTTGTAAACTGTAATGCCTCCAAAACGAATCTGTTCTCATTTACCCACCATAGAGAAACCGCCCTTCCTCCTGTCAGCATGCTGAAGATCAACTTCACGAGAGCATCTCACTGCGCAATTTTGGTCTCACGTTTTCCACTGACCTGAGGTGGAACAACTACATTGAATCAATAGCTGCATCTACTGCAAGGAAAGTTGGTTCTCTGTGTCACGTAATCCTTCAACTCTATAAATCTACCATTCGTCCTTGCATTGAATACTGTTGCCATATATGGTCTGGTGCTCCAACTGCATTAATTTAAGCGTGCTACTAGGTTGGAATCTCGGT